GTACTCGTACTGACTCGTACCGAGAACGAGACGTATCCTCTCCGGGCCCCCGATGCGACAGGCTTCTTTTGGCTATTTCACGCATATGACGCGCACGACACGGTCRATACGACACGACAAATGGGACAGGAAAGAAACGAATAGAAGACAAAAGAGAGAATTTGTTTTTTGGAGTGAAAATTGAAAATGGTTTGTGCGGACAGACCGAAACTCGGAAGTGCGAGTGGTATGAGTTTCCGAAGTTCCATGGCGATGCGAAGCCACAACTTAGCGTTGTTCTTTAACGGTACGTACGAATACTACTATCATACGTGAGATAAAATTACGATACCGTATGTACCRTACCGTACGTCAAGTTCGTTCATCGACCCATTCAGAAAGTAAAATTATTACTCGAACTACTCGTACCGTAATCGTTGTAGTACACGTCATCCTTGGCCATTCAAGGACAGATGGCGACATTTTTTTAGTCCCTCAAGATACCAGGTACTAGTAGGTACGTAGAGTACGGTAGTAGTGTTAGGGAGGGGCAAGATTTTGTGGATTATTTTTCTTCTGAAATAACCTGTTTGTGTCAATAACCCAAGGAATTTTTAAACAACCCAGCACAAATAAGAATCCATCCTTGTTGGTTTGTGTGTTAGTAGTAACCCACAAATAATGATCCGCAAACCTTGTTTAGTAGTACAACTTTTTTGTGGGGATGGAGGAAGTACCCCCACTAAAATCATTCCTGATAACATATGATTGATTTATATTACTACAAATACCATAACAAGCAAGAATCACTTGTGACCCATCATTACTACTACTAGTACTAGATAGTAGTAGTAATTTCTTACAGTACTAATCACAATTAAATTTTTCTCAGTTCAAATTCTACAGAGCTCTACTACTGAGTGTTGCTCCCCAAGAACATGATTTTCAGCATGAATTTGCCTTCTGAGAGAGAAGCAGGATTGGTTCTGCGCCATCAGAATAGTTGCAAACTACTGTACCTCACCAGTACTAGATTTTCTTGTACTGTTTTATGATATTTGTAGTAGTACCGGGAATGACTGAATGACCTGATAATGGTTACTACTAGTAGTACTAGTATGCGTTACAGCAGATCAATTGAAACTAGTACATTTCAGCACAGGGCATTCCCAATTGCACCAAGAAACTTAATTTCTTAACATTCCGAATGTTAGAAATAACATTCCAAATGTTTATTTAATGTACAGAACAATGGTGTTAAGAAAATGAGGATGCCTCCCCTCTTAACTTTCAGACTGTTAAGCAGAGCATTCAGGAAATTAAATTGAAGCAAAAACTGCAGTACTCGTTTCTACATAGTCTAAGCTGCTAACATACTGAATGTTAAATTAAAAATTAACACTGGGAACGCCCTGGTGTGAAAGGTAGTTTCAATTACTACTAATCCGCAACGCGTAGTAATGGTAAACGTAATTSGTATTTAGTATTTACGGTACGATACATATGATGCCTCACTAGACTCATCCCTCATCCACCATCCACTCATTTCTGATGATCTTCCACATCAAAATCCATCACCCGCGACAAGATCGATTGATCGAATTGGTACCGTAGGGTACYAGTTTTACGTTTCTGAACCAAAAAATCGGTCKTTTYAARTATGTGGTTACGTTYCACACTTGTAATATTCTTAATAAGCAATTCGACAGAAAGTTGCCACTCCTGTAAAGACAAAGTTTGTAAAACACCTCCCGATACCGACGATACCAACATGAGTAACGCAGAAAAATTTCTCGCAGCTGCCGCCGAATTCCCGGAAGATGCTCTTGACGCCGAAAAGAAATTATACGAACACCCTCTGGTGAAGCGTTACGCCACGAAAGAAATGTCCTTTGTTTGGTCTCCGGCCAAGAAATTTACGACCTGGCGAAAACTATGGACAGCTCTAGCTACTGCTGAGCAAGAACTCGGTGTTGAGATTTCCGACGAACAATTGGAAGAAATGCGAGCACATCTGTTCGATATCGATTTTGAACTTGCAGGGAAAAAGGAGGCCGAATTTCGCCACGACGTTATGGGACACGTCCACGCCTTTGGCGAGGTTGCTCCCAAAGCTATGCMAATCATTCACTTAGGAGCCACCTCGTGCTACGTTGGTGACAACACTGATATTGTTCAGATCCGAGATGCGCTTTTCCTCATCAAGAGAAAGCTAGTGCAAACACTTGCGATTCTGAAAGACTTCGCCRTCGAACATAAAGATTTGCCAACTCTTGGTTTCACCCATTATCARCCCGCTCAATTAACCACTGTGGGCAAGCGATGTTGTTTGTGGATGCAGGAACTGATGATGGATTACGAACGCGTTGTATTAGAAATCGAAAAYCTTCCAATGCGCGGAGTCAAGGGAACTACAGGAACGCAGGCCACGTTCTTGGAACTGTTCGAGGGTGATCACGAAAAAGTCAAGGCGTTGAACAAGCGTGTCTGTGAATTGATGGGTTTTGATAAGAGTATTCCAGTCTCTGGTCAAACCTATACCCGCAAGATTGATTTTACTGTCCTGAGTGTCTTGAGCGGCATTTCTCAATCTGCCTACAAGATGTGTGGAGATATTCGTCTTCTTGCCAACCTGAAAGAAGTCGAGGAGCCCTTCGCAAAGACTCAGATTGGTTCAAGCGCCATGGCGTACAAGCGTAATCCAATGCGATCCGAAAGGTGCTGCTCGCTTGCTCGTTATGTTATGGGACTGCCAAATGCTGCAGCCAACACAGCTGCAAACCAGTGGTTCGAACGTACGTTGGATGATTCCGCTATTCGTCGTATCATTCTGCCTGAAGGATTCCTTGCGGTCGATGTAATCCTGACGCTTCTGACAAATATTGGTGATGGCCTTCATGTTTGGCCGGAGGTTGTCAAGGCTCACGTCATGGCTGAGTTGCCATTCATGTCAACAGAAGTTATTCTCATGGAGTGTAAGTAGAAATGCATTTGTATTTGTTGTGTCGTCRTGGTGTACAGGAGAGGAATGTTGATTAAACTGCAATAAACTTGTCTATATGTTTTGGAGTTCGTGCCTTCTCACTGGTCGTGTCTACGCATTTTGGAATTTGCAGGCGTGAAAGCCGGCGGTGACCGCCAAGAACTTCAYGAGGCCATTCGTGTTCATTCCATGGATGCCGGAGCTGTAGTTAAAGGGGAGGGAAAACCAAATGATTTGATGGAGCGCATMGCCAAGGATCCTTTGTTCGCTGCAGTTCACGATAAGCTGGACACTCTCGTCGATCCAAAGCTATTTGTTGGACGTGCACCTCAGCAGGTTGACGAATTTATCAAAGATGAAATCCAACCTATCCTAGATGCCAATAAGGACTTGATCTCACAAGAAAGYGTGGACTCTGTCAATGTCTGAGTTATCCGCAGTATTTGRAAATTGGCATGAGGAGAAAGACGCCACAATCAAAAGCATAATCACTGGTTTGTCTTCCATTCCAACTAGAGCAGAGAGATGTGTGTGCAACTGACACAATGTCACCCCCCTCTAACTTTAATGGAACACTAGTTTATCACTTATCAA